TTTGGTGGTAGCACACACAATACACTTTTTCTGGGCATTCTTCTTCTTTTGGGTAGGTGGTATTGGTACCAGATAGTGACAGGAGTGATTCGGTCTGGCACTTCCCCCACTGGCTGTGGTTGGGGGACAGGTTGCGGTGTGACAGGTCGCTGTTGAGGGGAAGGTACAGGTGTGGTACCATACTTTCTTGCTATCTGTTTGATGAGATTCAGAGAGAAATCTGCAAAACGTTGTCGTTTTCCAGTCTTTACTTCATACATATTGAAAGCATTGAGCACTGCAATGTCTACAAGGTGAAAAAACAGTTTTATATACCACTTGCAACTCCTACGCACACAGTCAACAAACCCTATCATCATGTCACACTTGTCAACTAGTTGCATGTTGTTCGTATAGTCCATGAAAACTGGAGTACATGTACTGATGAAGTGGTCTGTAGACCAGTAATTACGTATATTGTTCTTATAGATATGTGGCATAAGCATGACAGTGGCAAGGAATAAATACATTTTAGCCACTGCTGTGTCTTTCCACCTGTGCAGCCGTGATGATTCTCCAACCTCTGTTGTGTTGTTCATGACCTATTGGTAATGTTTGTCTGAGTCACTATCAAGTTCATTATAGGCTCGTCAAAGTACAACTGGAAATAGTCTAACTCTGTAGACTCATTCGTTATGGGACATTCTGGCTGGATACCACTTCCACTAGCATCCAAATCAGAAGGCTGTGGCACGAATATACTTTTATGTCCAGTTCCACTCACGATCACATGGTGCAGGGTGGACCTGTGGCATGGGGCGAGGGGGGGGGGGCAGGAGGAGGAGGGAGAGGAGTGGAGGCAGCACATGGTTGAGGGGGTGCCGGGCAGTCCTTTGTCTGTCCACCCACTGCGTCATGTGGTCCAGGCACCATGCCACCCACCACTACTTCCTCCATCCCTGCATACTCCCCTTCATGATCACTTTCACTATCATTGGCCGGGGTTTTGGATCGTGACCTGCCACGACCCTTGGGGATTGCATATGGCACACTGCCTGAACATAGATAACGACGCCTAAAAGTACGTTTCACTGGTGAATAATGAATGTCACTATCACTAGACAAATCCTCAATTGGCATAAAATCAATCTCATCATCACTTATATCACTTTCACTATCACTACTAAAACACTGGGAAAATGATAGTTTCCTCTTGCGAAGTTGCCTATGGGTAACACTTGCCACTCCAGAGGTGCTTGGCCCAGGGTCTTCTGTGGCCACACTGGCCACCCCAGAAGTACTTGGCCTAGGGTCTGATGTGGCCACACTGGCTACCCCAGAGGTGCTTGGCCCTAGGACAGGTGTCGCTACCCCAGAGGTGATGGGCTGGGGGTCATCTGGGTTATCGTCGATATTTTCACTAATTCCTTGAATATTACTGGCCCCATTGTTGTCATATCCACTAAACTCACGATCTCTATCACTTTCCTTGAATAGTAGAGTGTTAATACGATGAGGCGTGAGTGATTCAAGAAGATGTGCCATGATGTTGACCCAGGATGGAGCTGAATGTAACTGGTCCTACCATGTGGTACCCAGGCGTCCCAGATTTTTTGTATACTGCGCACACTCATTCTCTCATGTCTAGGCGACTCAGGCCTATCGCACTAATTTTGAACGAATGAAAAATAAAACGTATATATACGTTTGGGGCGCTACACGCGTCAACGTATATATGCGTTTGGACTGTTTAAGGGTTAAATTTAGTAATATATACAGGAGAACGGGTTACTAGCCCCTTGCTCCCGGCATTTTAGTCGCCTCTTACAACACGCATGGCTTACGGTGGAAGAATTCTGTTCCACTTCCCCATGGAGATAACAGGAAATAAACAAGAACAAGAACTAGTAACAAAATAGAAGAAAACCCAGAGGGGTGTGTATATACAGTGGACCCCCGGTTAACGATTACCTCCGAATGCGACCAATTATGTAAGTGTATTTATGTAAGTGCGTTTGTACGTGTATGTTTGGGGGTCTGAAATGGACTAATCTACTTCACAATATTTCTTATGGGAACAAATTCAGTCAGCATTGGCACCTGAACATACTTCTGGAGTGAAAAAATATCGTTAACCGGGGGTCCACTGTATATGCTTGTACATGTATGTGTAGTGTGACCTAAGTGTAAGTAGAAGTAGCAAGACATACCTGAAATCTTGCATGTTCATGAGACAGAAAAAAGGACACCAGCAGTCCTACCATCATGTAAAACAATTACAGGCTTTCGTTTTACACTCACTTGGCAGGACGGTAGTACCTCACATATATATATATTATGCCGAATAGGTAAAACTTGTGATTGTGGCTTAAACGACAATGTTCTTCTTGCCTAAGGCAAGTGAAAATTTGTGTATGCATTAATTTCATAAAAATCATTCTGAACCTAATGAAAAATTGTATTTCATTATGTTTGTTTATTATTGAATTATTATAAACTTATCTAAAATATATTTAGTTGGATTAGGCTAAATTAAATTGCACTTGTTATAATAAGGTTAGGTAAGTTTTCTAAGGTTCTTTTGGTACAAAATTATTAATTTTTAAATTAACATAAATGAAAAAATATATCTTTAAATCTATAAGGGAAAATTTTTGAAAGGACTTAATTTTAAATGAGTTCTTGCTAAATGACCAATTTTACCTATTCAGTACAACATTATATATAATATATATATATATATATATATATATATATATATATATATATATATATATATATATATATATAATATTATATATAATAGATATATATATATATATATATATATATATATATATAATATATATATATATATATATATATATATTATATATATATATATATATATATATATATATATATAATGGAGGGGTGTTAATGTTGCAGTTTAAAAACTGTAGTGTAAAGCACCCTTCTGGCAAGACAGTGATGGAGTGAATGATGGTGAAAGTTTTTCTTTTTCGGGCCACCCTGCCTTGGTGGGAATCGGCCAGTGTGATAATAATAATAATATATATATATATATATATATATATATATATATATATATATATAATATATATAATATATATATATATATATACATGTATATATATATAAGGTACCTAGGGATTGGCAGAGAGCATGCATAGTTCCTTTGTATAAAGGCAAAGGGGATAAAAGAGAGTGCAAAAATTATAGGGGATAAGTCTGTTGAGTATACCTGGTAAAGTGTATGGTAGAGTTATAATTGAAAGAATTAAGAGTAAGACTGAAAATAGGATAGCAGATGAACAAGGAGGCTTTAGGAAAGGTAGGGGGTGTGTGGACCAGGTGTTTACAGTGAAACATATAAGTGAACAGTATTTAGATAAGGCTAAAGAGGTCTTTGTGGCATTTATGGATTTGGAAAAGGCATATGACAGGGTGGATAGGGGGGCAATGTGGCAGATGTTGCAAGTGTATGGTGTAGGAGGTAGGTTACTGAAAGCAGTGAAGAGTTTTTACGAGGATAGTGAGGCTCAAGTTAGAGTATGTAGGAAAGAGGGAAATTTTTTCCCAGTAAAAGTAGGCCTTAGACAAGGATGTGTGATGTCACCGTGGTTGTTTAATATATTTATAGATGGGGTTGTAAGAGAAGTAAATGCGAGGGTCTTGGCAAGAGGCGTGGAGTTAAAAGATAAAGAATCACACACAAAGTGGGAGTTGTCACAGCTGCTCTTTGCTGATGACACTGTGCTCTTGGGAGATTCTGAAGAGAAGTTGCAGAGATTGGTGGATGAATTTGGTAGGGTGTGCAAAAGAAGAAAATTAAAGGTGAATACAGGAAAGAGTAAGGTTATGAGGATAACAAAAAGATTAGGTGATGAAAGATTGAATATCAGATTGGAGGGAGAGAGTATGGAGGAGGTGAACATATTCAGATATTTGGGAGTGGACGTGTCAGCAGATGGTCTATGAAAGATGAGGTGAATCATAGAAATTGATGAGGGAAAAAGAGTGAGTGGTGTACTTAGGAGTCTGTGGAGACAAAGAACTTTGTCCTTGGAGGCAAAGAGGGGAATGTATGAGAGAGTATAGTTTTACCAACGCTCTTATATGGGTGTGAAGCGTGGGTGATGAATGTTGCAGCGAGGAGAAGGCTGGAGGCAGTGGAGATGTCATGTCTGAGGGCAATGTGTGGTGTGAATATAATGCAGAGAATTCGTAGTTTGGAAGTTAGGAGGAGGTGCGGGATTACCAAAACTGTTGTCCACAGGGCTGAGGAAGGGTTGTTGAGGTGGTTCGGACATGTAGAGAGAATGGAGCGAAACAGAATGACTTCAAGAGTGTATCAGTCTGTAGTGGAAGGAAGGCGGGGTAGGGGTCGGCCTAGGAAAGGTTGGAGGGAGGGGGTAAAGGAGGTTTTGTGTGCGAGGGGCTTGGACTTCCAGCAGGCATGCGTGAGCGTGTTTGATAGGAGTGAATGGAGACAAATGGTTTTTAATACTTGACGTGCTGTTGGAGTGTGAGCAAAGTAACATTTATGAAGGGATTCAGGGAAACCGGCAGGCCAGACTTGAGTCCTGGAGATGGGAAGTACAGTGCCTGCACTCTGAAGGAGGGGTGTTAATGTTGCAGTTTAAAAACTGTAGTGTAAAGCACCCTTCTGGCAAGACAGTGATGGAGTGAATGATGGTGAAAGTTTTTCTTTTTCGGGCCACCCTGCTTTGGTGGGAATCGGCCAGTGTGATAATAAAAAAAAAAAAAAAAAAAACATGTATATATATATACAGTGGTACCTCGGGATACGAACAGCTCAAAACTCAAACATTTATGTAAGTGCTTTTGTAAGTGTGTTTTTGGGGGTCTGAAATGGATTAATCTAATTTATATTATTCCTTATGGGAACAAATTCGTTTGGTATCGGCACTTGAACAGCCTTCTGGAACGAATTAAGCTGGTATCCCTAGGTACCACTGTATAAATATAATTATTATTATTAAGATTGTTGATGGTTGTTTAGGGTTGTTAATGGTGGTTCTGGTTGCAGTTTCGTGCGGTTCAATGAACCAGTGATGGATCACATGCTGCTGGGGTTGAAAGGCAGCATGTGGAAGGCAGTAAGGTCAGTGATGACCCCAACCTTCAGCTCTGGCAAGGTCAAGCAGACCTTGGCATTGGTCAAGGTGTGTGCAAACAACCTGCTGACCTACTGCCACAAGCACGTTGACATGGGGTGAGTCCCTCAAGGTTTACTGCTCTACTGTACACCTCTGTATACACTCACTTTATAAAGTTTATGTATATACAGTCAGTTCTCTTATAAAGTTCCTTTATATACAGTCAGTTCTCTTATTAAGGTCCCCTATATACAGTCAGTTCTCTTATGAAGTTCCTTTATATACAGTCAGTTCTCTTATAAAGTTCCTTTATATACAGTCAGTTCTCTTATTAAGGTCCCCTATATACAGTCAGTTCTCTTATGAAGTTCCTTTATATACAGTCAGTTCTCTTATGAAGTTCCTTTATATACAGTCAGTTCTCTTATAAAGTTCCTTTATATACAGTCAGTTCTCTTATTAAGGTCCCCTATATACAGTCAGTTCTCTTATAAAGTTCCTTTATATACAGTCAGTTCTCTTATTAAGGTCCCCTATATATAGTCAGTTCTCTTATAAAGTTCCTTTATATACAGTCAGTTCTCTTATTAAGGTCCCCTATATACAGTCAGTTCTCTTATAAAGTTCCTTTATATACAGTCAGTTCTCTTATTAAGGTCCCCTATATACAGTCAGTTCTCTTATGAAGTTCCTTTATATACAGTCAGTTCTCTTATGAAGTTCCTTTATATACAGTCAGTTCTCTTATAAAGTTCCTTTATATACAGTCAGTTCTCTTATTAAGGTCCCCTATATACAGTCAGTTCTCTTATAAAGTTCCTTTATATACAGTCAGTTCTCTTATTAAGGTCCCCTATATACAGTCAGTTCTCTTATATAAAGTTCCTTTATATACAGTCAGTTCTCTTATAAAGTTCCTTATATATACAGTCAGTTCTCTTAAAAGTTCCCTTTATATACAGTCAGTTCTCTTATAAAGTTCCTTTATATACAGTCAGTTCTCTTATAAAGTTCCTTTATATACAGTCAGTTCTCTTATAAAGTTCCTTTATATACAGTCAGTTCTCTTATAAAGTTCCTTTATATACAGTCAGTTCTCTTATAAAGTTCCTCTATATACAGTCAGTTCTCTTATAAAGTTCCTCTATATACAATCACTTGTTCGGTCATGTTCAAACATATCTGACTTGTTCTGTCATGTTCAAACACATCTGACTTGTTCTGTCATGTTCAAACACATCTGACTTGTTCTGTCATGTTCAAACACATCTGACTTGTTCTGTCATGTTCAAACATATCTGACTTGTTCGGTCATGTTCAAACAAACACACATACTAACTATATTAAAATAAAACAGTTCTCCTGTTAGAACATTGTTAGAACATTGTTAGAACATTGTTAGAACATTGTTAGAACATTGTTAGGCACAAAATACGGACAACGATTGTGTGACACATTTCATGGCCGACTAATGTTACGATTTAGAGATAGACTATTAATCTGGCCTACTGATGCAATTAAATAGAAATAGTGGAACAATAAGAGAGGTAGTTAATGAACAAATGGTACAGTTACAAAAGTATGACGTATTGTTTCTGATTCAGTGATCATCAGTTTTGTGGAACAATGGAATAACTGGTCATTATGTGGGGTCAGGGCGGACCTACTATCAAACTAATTAAGCTGAAGCTTGAGGGACCCTAATCCCAGAGGGACCCTAATCCCAGAGGGGCCCTAATCCCAGAGGGGCCCTAATCCCAGAGGGGCCCTAATCCCAGAGGGGCCCTAATCCCAGAGGGGCCCTAATCCCAGAGGGGCCCTAATCCCAGAGGGGCCCTAATCCCAGAGGGGCCCTAATCCCAGAGGGGCCCTAATCCCAGAGGGGCCTCAGAAGCCACTTAAGTCAACTTTGCTTAAAAATTTGGGGTCTGCTGTATGAGAAGGGTTTTTTAAATAATAATATTCATATAGTGTAATTCAATACAAAACAATAATAAAAATAAAAATTAAAAGGTTATTAAAGTATGATGTAGGCCTATTGTTGCTGGTTGCCATGGTGACCCCATGACAGGTCAAGCTTCACCAACCTATAAATGCAGGTCCACCACTGTGTGTGGGAAAAGAGATGAATAGCTAATCAGCAGTTGCTCTGGAACAAACACCAGGCTTGGCTGGGCACCAGAGTATTGTCTGGTCTGGCCTGGGATGCGTACATTGTGTGTACGCCAAGTGGTTTTTCAAGACATTTCCCTCATAACTGTGTTTTGGACCACTACAGATCCCCATAACTGTGTTCCGTCCCACTGCACATCCCCATAACTGTGTTCCGTCCCACTGCACATCCCCATAACTGTGTTCTGTCCCACTGCACGTCCCCATACCTGTGTTCCATCCCCCTGCATGTCTCTGTAACTGTGTTCCATCCCACGGCACGTCCCCATAACTGTTTTCCATCCCACTGCAGGTCTTCATAACTGTGTTCCATCCCACTGCAGGTCATCAGTGTTTGAGATGAAGGAAGTGTTCGGCATGTTCACCATGGACACCATCGCTAGTATTGCTTTTGGCGTCAACAGCGACTCCCTCAACAACACTAACGTGAGTTAGGTCACCACGCAGCTCTTGCCCCCTTCAAGGCTAAGATAATTATCTTCAGTGTAGGTTAATTAACTTTAATAAACAGATAATTTGGTTCAACATACATAATTAAGTTCAGTATTCAAATATTTAGGTTCAAGAAACCAGCAGTTAGGTTCAAGGAACAGCCTCTCCTCACTTAGCGATGTACTCGTTTACCGACGACTCGGACATACGACGAGCTCTTTGACCACTATTCATACCTAAATGATATATGTTAGAGCAGATTTCCTCTATTCTGTTTATTACAATATACAGTACACTACTGTATAAACATTTAAAAATATACCAGAAATGTTATAAATGGTACAAAGATGACATTAAAACAATATCAAAGATGGTTGACACAAACTCACTGCCATTATAGTATGCTCCTCACTTAGTGACGAATTTGTTTACCAACGTGGTCTTAGGAACAGAACTCTGTCGTTAAGAGAGGAGAGGCTGTAACATGAAACCAGTGCATAAAAAGATTTCCTCACCACAGAACTAGTTCTGTGGTGCAGGCACACCGGTCTGCTAAGAAACCCTCTCTTGCACCACAGAACTAGTTCTGCATCACCACTGGCAGTGCACAGGCACACCAGTCCACTAAGAAACCCTCTCTTGCACTGCAGAACTAGTTCTGCACCACCACTGGCAGTGCACAGGCACACCAGTCCACTAAGAAACCCTCTCTTGCACTGCAGAACTAGTTCTGCACCACCACTGGCAGTGCACAGGCACACCAGTCCACTAAGAAACCCTCTCTTGCACCACAGAACTAGTTCTGCACCACCACTGGCAGTGCACAGGCACACCAGTCCACTAAGAAACCCTCTCTTGCACCACAGAACTAGTTCTGCACCACCACTGGCAGTGCGCAAGCACACCAGTTCGCTTAGAAACCCTCTCTTGCACCACAGAACTATTTCTGCATCACCACTGGCAGTGCACAGGCACACCAGTCCACTAAGAAACCCTCTCTTGCACCACAGAACTAGTTCTGCACCACCACTGGCAGTGCACAGGCACACCAGTCCACTAAGAAACCCTCTCTTGCACCACAGAACTAGTTCTGCACCACCACTGGCAGTGCGCAAGCACACCAGTTCGCTTAGAAACCCTCTCTTGCACCACAGAACTATTTCTGCATCACCACTGGCAGTGCACAGGCACACCAGTCCACTAAGAAACCCTCTCTTGCACCACAGAACTAGTTCTGCACCACCACTGGCAGTGCACAGGCACACCAGTCCACTAAGAAACCCTCTCTTGCACCACAGAACTAGTTCTGCACCACCACTGGCAGTGCGCAAGCACACCAGTTCGCTTAGAAACCCTCTCTTGCACCACAGAACTATTTCTGCATCACCACTGGCAGTGCACAGGCACACCAGTCCACTAAGAAACCCTCTCTTGCACCACAGAACTAGTTCTGCACCACCACTGGCAGTGCACAGGCACACCAGTCCACTAAGAAACCCTCTCTTGCACCACAGAACTAGTTCTGCACCACCACTGGCAGTGCACAGGCACACCAGTCCACTAAGAAACCCTCTCTTGCACCACAGAACTAGTTCTGCACCACCACTGGCAGTGCACAGGCACACCAGTCCACTAAGAAACCCTCTCTTGCACCACAGAACTATTTCTGCATCACCACTGGCAGTGCACAGGCACACCAGTCCACTAAGAAACCCTCTCTTGTACCACAGAACTAGTTCTGCACCATCACTGGCAGTGCACAGGCACACCAGTCCACTAAGAAACCCTCTCTTGCACCATAGAACTAGTTCTGCACCATCACTGGCAGTGCACAGGCACACCAGTCCACTTAGAAACCCTCTCTTGCACTGCAGAACTAGTTCTGCACCATCACTGGCAGTGCACAGGCACACCAGTCCACTAAGAAACCCTCTCTTGCACCACAGAACTATTTCTGCACCACCACTGGCAGTGCACAGGCACACCAGTCCACTTAGAAACCCTCTCTTGCACTGCAGAACTAGTTCTGCACCATCACTGGCAGTGCACAGGCACACCAGTCCACTAAGAAACCCTCTCTTGCACTGCAGAACCAGTTCTGCACCATCACTGGCAGTGCACAGGCACACCAGTCCACAAAGAAACCCTCTCTTGCACTGCAGAGCCAGTTCTGCACCATCACTGGCAGTGCACAGGCACACCAGTCCACTAGGAAACCCTCTCTTGCACCACAGAACTAGTTCTGAACCATTACTGGCATGTTACAGGCACACCAGTCCACTAAGAAACCCTCTCTTGCACCATAGAACTAGTTTTGCACCATTACTGGCAGTACACAGACACATCAGTCCACTAAGGAACCCTCTCTTGCACCATAGAACTAGCTCTGCACCATTACTGGCAGTACACAGGCACACCAGGCCACTAAGAAACCCTCTCTTCCACCACAGAACTAGTTCTGCACCATTACTGGCAGTGCACAGGCACACCAGTCCACTAAGAAACCCTCTCTTGCACCACCAAACTAGTTCTGCACCATCACTGGCAGTGCACAGACACACCAGTCCACTAAGAAACCCTCTCTTGCACCACAGAACTAGTTCTGCACCATTACTGGCAGTACAAAGGCACACCAGTCCACTAAGAAACCCTCTCTTCCACCACAGAACTAGTTCTGCACCATCACTGGCAGTGCACAAGTACACCAGTCCACTAAGAAACCTTCTCTTGCACCACAGAACTAGTTCTGCACCATCACTGGCAGTGCACAGGCACACCAGTCCACTAAGAAACCCTCTGTTGCACCACAGAACTAGTTCTGCACCACCACTGGCAGTGCACAGGCACACCAGTCCACTAAGAAACCCTCTCTTGCACTGCAGAACCAGTTCTGCACCACCACTGGCAGTGCACAGGCACACCAGTCCACTAAGAAACCCTCTCTTGCACTGCAGAACCAGTTCTGCACCACCACTGGCAGTGCACAGGCACTCCAGTCCACTAAGAAACCCTCTGTTGCACCACAGAACTAGTTCTGCACCATCACTTGCAGTGCACAGGCACACCAGTCCACTAAGAAACCTCTCTTGCACTACAGAACGAGTTCTCTGCTGCCGCCGCTCGGTTTTTCACACCGCCGCCCCGGTGGAAGCGACCGATTCTGTTCTTGCAGTTCCTCTGGCCGCAGATCGCTAAGTACCTCTGCCTTAATGTTATCGACCGAACACCGATTCACTTCTTCACAAAGGTAATGATGATAACAATTATAATTGTAATAATTGCAATAATGATCATAGTAATGATAATAATGTACAGTCAATTCTCTTATATAGCTCCTCTACATACAGTCATTTCTCTTATATAGCTCCTCTATATACACTCAGTTCTCTTATAATGTTCCTCTATATACAGTCAGTTCTCTTATAATGTTCCTCTATATACAGTCAGTTCTCTTATAATGTTCCTCTATATACAGTCAGTTCTCTTATAATGTTCCTCTATATACAGTCAGTTCTCTTATAATGTTCCTCTATATACAGTCAGTTCTCTTATAATGTTCCTCTATATACAGTCAGTTCTCTTATAAAGCTCCTCTATATACAGTTAGCTCTCTTATAAAGTTCCTCTATACAGTCATTTCTCTTATAAAGCTCCTCTATATACATTCAGTTCTGTTATTAAGCTCATTTATATACAGTCAGTAAAGAGTTATTAAAAATTTATAGTTGACTGGCTGGTATTGGGCTCAGTCATCTCTAACGACCTCATTAACGACCCTGGGCATGTCACAGGTGGTGTCGGACACCATGAAGTACCGGCTAGAGAATGACCTCCGGCGCAACGACTTTCTGCAGCTGCTGCTGGATGCTCGTGTGCAGGAACACTCAAACGACCACACTAGTGCAGCCAGGAACGACGGCAACACCAAGAAGGTTAACAACCAAGGTTGGTCGTTAAGCACCAGAGGTGGGTGTAAACAATGCCTGGCTCTTAAACATTAGGGGCTCTAAATGACCCTTGTTAAGTATTATGGGTTTTGAGCAACTCCTAGTCATTAAGCACAAGGGGTTATGAACAACCTCTGGTCATTAAGCACCAGGGGTTGCAAACCACCGATGACTTCTTTTGTAATCTGAGAGGGGATAGTTGACTTAACCGGTGCAATGGTGGTTCATCCTGGACCACAGTGAGATCTGTCATGATAATAATCTTTCATGGTCCATGACCTAATTGTATATAACAGTGGTTCACCTTGGCCCAAGTTACTTATAACTTGATTAGAAAGTTTATTTAGGCTGGAAACATTAGGACATGTTTCCTTAAGACACCTGCTGTCACTCTTCACCTAACAGTAAAATAGGTACCTGGATGTTAGTGCACTGGTGTGGGTTGCATCCTAGGACAAAATTGACCTAATACATACGTAGGAAATGCCCTGCATAACAAGGGATTTTCTGTATAGAAATACAGTGGACCCCTGCATAACGCTATTAATCCGTTCCTGAGAGCTCAATGTTATGCGAAATTATCGTTATGCGAATTAATTTTCACCATAAGAAATAATGGAAAACAAATTAATCCTTGCAAGACACCCAAAAGTATGAAAAAAAAAAATTTTTTACCACATGAAATATTAATTTTAATACACACAAACTTAAGAAAACATGCACAGTTACATGACACTTACCTTTATTGAAGATGTGGTGATGATTGATGGGATGGGAGGAGGGGAGACTGGATGGTTTTAGTGTTTAGAAGGGGAATCCACTTCCATTAGGACTTGAGGTGTCAAGTCCTTTTCCGGGGTTGCTTCCCTTCTTCTTTTAACCCTTTCAGGGTCCATCCCATAGATCTACGGCTTTACGTTCAGGGTCCAAACCGTAGATCTACGTCATGAGCTCAGCTTACTCTGATAAACTGTGAGTGGTACATTTGGACCTAGATATGAGAGAATACATCTATGTGGTATGTGTGCACCACATAAAACAGATCCTGCAGCACACTGTGTATAATGAGAGAAAAAAAACTGAAATCATGATTTTTCGATTAAAACAGCGACTTTGCAGTGTTTTTTCATAGGTTTTTTATAGTTGTATTTGCGATTTCTTGGTCTCATTTGATAGAATGGAATACATATTACAGAAATGGAGATAATTTTGATTGGTTTTAGCACTAGAAATGGCTTGAAACTGAGCTCAAAGTAGCAGAAATGTTAAACTTTTGCCGATATTCAAGAGTAAACAAACGACCTCACACGTCTAATACACGACAGCTGGTGGGTCTAATATGCATTCACAAATATGGTGATGATATTTATACAATTATTACAGTATTGCATAACAGTAAATCTTCTATTTTTTTGGTGTGAATAAAAATTCATTATGTGAATAAAAAATCAAAATGGAATTTATTTGTAAAGCCTCAAAATGTAACTAATGAACAGAGGGAAATGTTGTTTAGTTTCCAGGAATACCTACATTGTTTATTCTGGAGCCTATTTTGAAATTGGAATATTTTGAACTTTGTGTTAAATTGGCCAAATTAACAATTTCCGATCACTTTAATTTGTAGTTGAAACAGTTGACTTGGCGATTTCTTGTGCTCAATCGATAGAATAGAAGTAATGTTAGTGAAATAGCCAAGAATTTGGTTGACTGGAATAATGTAATTGGCCTAAAATGGGAGTCAAAGTCGGCAAAATCGCCGATTCATAAATATCGCTGACACATCAAAATTCGCAAGAGCATAATTTCGTCAGTTTCCCATCAAATTTCGTACTTTTTGTTTTATTACATTCACAAAAAGATTCTCTACCATTTCATAAGAAAAAATAACAAATTTTTTTTTTTTAAATTCTTGGACACTGGGGCACCACTTCAGATTTGGGCCTTGGACCCTGAAGGGGTTAATGCCACTAGGACCAGCTTCAGAGTCACTGGACCTCTGTCGCACAACATATCTGTCCATAGTGGCCTGTACCTCTCGTTCCTTTATGACTTTCCTAAAGTGTTTCACAACAGTGTCAGTGTAATAGTCACCAGCATGGCTTGCAATAGCTGTCTGAGGGTGATTTTCATCCATGAAGGTTTGCACTTCAAGCCACTTTGCACAGATTTCCTTAATCTTTGAAGTAGGCAACTTCTTCAATTTCTCTCTCCCCTCCTCCAAAGTAATTTCCTCAGGTGTGGCCTCTTGCTGTTGAAGTTGATCTAGCAGCTCATCAGTGGTTAGTTCTTCATTGTCCTCCTCCACCAACTCTTCCACATCCTCCCCACTAACCTCCAACCCCAAGGACTTCCCCAATGCCACAATTGATTCCTCAACTGGCATAGGATTCTCAGGGTTAGCCTCAAATCCTTCAAAAATCCTTTTGGTCTACACATTCTGGCCACAGTTTCTTCCAAGCAGAGTTCAAGGTCCTCTTAGTCACTCCCTCCCAAGCCTTACCTATAAGGTTTACACAATTGAGGATATTAAAGTGCTCTCTCCAAAACTCTCTTAGAGTCAGTTGAGTTTCTGAGGTCACTACAAAGCACCTTTCAAACAGAGCATTTGTGTACAGTTTTTTGAAGTTTGCAATAACCTGCTGGTCCATGGGCTGCAGGAGAGGAGTGGTATTAGGAGGCAAAAACTTCACCTTAATGAAGCTCATGTCCCCACAAAGTCGCTCTGCCAAGTCTGTAGGATGACCAGGGGCATTGTCTAACACCAGGAGGCACTTAAGGTCTAATTTCTTTTCAGTTAGGTAATTTTTCACAGTGGGGGCAAGTGCTTGATGTAACCAGTCATAGAAAAAGTCCCTAGTGACCCATGCCTTATTGTTTGCCCTCCACAGCACACACAAATTAGCCTTGAGGATATTCTTTTGCCTGAATGCTCTGGGAGTTTCAGAGTGATACACTAATAAAGGCTTCACTTTGCAATCACCACTAGCATTGGCACACATGAGAAGAGTAAGCCTGTCTTTCATAGGCTTATGTCCAGGGAGTGCCTTTTCCTCCTGAGTAATGTAGGTCCTGCTTGGCATTTTCTTCCAAAACAGGTCTGTTTCATCACAATTAAACACTTGTTCAGGTTTCAGTCCTTCACTGTCTATGTACTCCTTGAATTCATGCACATATTTTTCAGCTGCTTTTTGGTCCGAACTGGCAGCCTCACCATGCCTTATTACACTATGTATGCCACTACGCCTCTTAAATCTCTCAAACCAACCTTTGCTGGCCTTAAATTCACTCGCATCACCACTAGTTGCAGGTATTTTTCTAATTAAATCCTCGTGCAACTTCCTAGCCTTTTCACTTATGATCGCTTGAGAGATGCTATCGCCTGCTATCTGTTTTTCGCTTATCCACACCAATAACAGTCTCTCAACATCTTCTATCACTTGCGATCTCTGTTTCGAAAGCACAGTTAAACCTTTGGCAAGAACAGCTTCCTTGATTGCCGTTCTCTTGGACACAATAGAAGCAATGGTTGATTGGGGTTTACTATACAACCTGGCCAGCTCGGAGACATGCACTCCACTTTCATACTTAGCACTAATCTCTTTCTTCATCTCCATAGTAATTCTCACCCTTATTCCTGTAGGGCTGGCACTAGAAGCTTTCTTGGGGCCCATGGTCACTTATTTTTCAGGTGAAATCACTATAAAAAGGCTGTAATAATACGAAATGTTCCGATTGTATGCTTGAATGTTACCGCGGATGCTGGCTTGTAAACAATGCCACTGGCAGAACAAGTGAGGCAGGCTCAGGCCGCATGGACGTGTCTCGGACGAATTGCGTTGAGCGAATTTTTTAGCACTATGCGAGGCAAAATTTTAGCGATAAAATGTATCGCTATGCGGATTTAACACTATGCGATGCCAACGTTATGCGGGGGTCCACTGTATGTCATTGATGTCAGCTAGGTCTATCTACTTGTAGAAATAAAGATTATACAGTGGTACCCCGAGTTTTGTACAGCTCCCAACTCGAACAATTGTGTAAGTGTATTGTTGTAAGTGCTTTTGTAAGTGTATTTTTGAGGGTCTGAAACGGAGTAATCTAATTTACATTATTCCTTATGGGAACAAATTCGTTCAGTAATGGCACTCGAACAGCCTTCTAAAATGAATTATGGCCGAAACTCAGGATACCACTGTATTATTATTATGAGTACACAAAAGTACAGTTATCGTACATAGTGTAAATTACCCGCCAGGATAACCCAAAAAATGTCAGAGTGACTTATTACCACTGTGGTTCTTGTAATATATTGTTATTTAAAGCATAAAAGTTATATCAGTAAGTCAACTGTGTGAAAATCAGTTATAATAACACAAGATATACCAGGAATACACTGAGTTAAACCATGCCACAGGCGGGGTTAGAACCCGCAGTCAGAATCATAAAACTCCAGACCAACACAGCCACTGGGCCAGCTAGCCACGATAAGATTCGTCCAATATACCTAGTTATTATTATTAAAGATTTGCCGGTATTCTCCTGGCCCGGGCCTTTTCCAAGTGGTGGCCCGGCCTTGGCTCCCTCTTTAGGGAGTGTCTGAGACCAAAGTCTCCCATGGGAGGAGGTACATGGACCTCCTCATCTTTGGGACCAACTGTCCCCAGGCCTAGCCACAAGCTAGGCCTCTCTGGTCTGCCATCCCCGCCCCAAGGGGGCTAATGGGAATGACAGTCTTATGAGCTAAAAGCTCGGGCTCAGGCACCTACCCTACCCTAGAAGGGTTAGGCATGGTATCGATCTTATCTATACCTAGTTGGATGAATCTTATTGTGGCTAGCTGGCCCAGTGGCTAACGCATTGGTCTGGAGTTTCATGATTTTCTGATCGCGGGTTCTAACCCCACCCATGTTATGGTTTGCTTGCAATTGTGTCATTACAATTTTGTGAGTCAAGTTAATACACTGAGTTATTTATATTAATATTAAAGAAAGGAACAGA